ACCCGGGGATAGGGAACGCGCGCGAGGCGTCTAAACGGCTCCCTCTGTGCTTCGTTCCCCCACCCATTCCATTCCCTCTGTTCCTTCCGTTCAACTGCAACGTTGCCGGCTCGCTCGGTTACAAGCGCTCCGGCGTCCACGTTCCTCCGCTCCGAAATTCAAACAACAGAGCTGAGCTGGGATGGCGATCAAATCTTCATGTTCATTCTGTTCCGAGCGATTTGCACGATGGGTAAGCATTCATTGAGTCAAACCCGATTTCCTCACGTTGTTCGCTTAGTCGTATTGGTTCTCGAACTATTTAACGTTGTTTTCCAGATTACGACTACTTCAACGGACGGCCTCGCGATGTTATCGCCGAGCATGCTCGTAGGGTTAGGTACCAGGTGTTCATTCGATTTCGTTTACGTGACGCCCACAATCCCCTCGACATGTCTATTGAAGGATTCGTCGAGCTGTACCGCATGCCGCAGGACATATTCCTCGACCTTTTGGAGGTCATAACCCCCTTTGTTCCTCATCGCCAGTCACGCTTGGCTATTCCTCTTTACATGAGAGTAAGTATTTGTGCAGCCACATGTTACATTCCCTTTTCGTGTTGCTCTGTGTCTTGTGGTAATCTTGTGTTGTTTTTTTTTAACAAATCTGTTTTCTTCTTGTTTCTTGCAAGCTTCTTTGTGCGCTCTCCTTCTATGCCACTGGCACCTATCAAGAGCACAATGGTACTGCTATGCACCACCCTATGTCCCAGGCTAGCGTGAGCTATTGCATTAAAGAAGTGACCAATGCTCTGAACCATCCACTTGTTTTCACTAGATTTGTTAGATTTCCGTTGACACATGCCGAACGTCTTGCGCTGGTGGATAGGTAAGCGAGACAAATGTACTGTATTGTAAAATTACTACAAAATTTCAACTGTGTTTTACAAATCAGATTTGCTTTTCCGCAGAAATGCACGTATGGGCCTTCCTGGTGTAATAGGACTCATAGATGGTACCATCATAAGGATTACTCCACCTCCTAAACCCAATGTTCATTACTACTCTAGGAAAGGGTCTACATCCCTCAATGTGATGATAGTAAGCATTGTTTTGTAACCTATTTTTTATGTTCTGTGAATCAAGTGAATTGTGCTGAAATGACTATTTTATTGTCTTAGGTGTGTGATACTGACTTGAATATTATCAATGTAAATGCTCGGTACCCTGGATCATCCCATGATTCACATGTGTACAACAACTCTACAGTGAGAGATGTGATGGAGGCTGCATTTCGGGAGGACCCTTGTTGGCTGCTAGGTTTGTATTTTAGACTCTTCTGAACATATCACGCAACAAAGCCATATCTCATTGCTTTTTTCTCTCCCTCCCTCAGGAGATCAAGGCTATCCTCGCCTTCCATGGCTGATGACTCCTGTATGGCGTCCTGTCAGAGGTACACCAGAGTATTATTATAATGTACTCCACTCAAGAGTGAGGATGGTGGTGGAGAGATGCATTGGGGTGCTCAAGGCTCGTTGGCGGTGCATCTGCAACGACAATGCGCTCCCTTACCGCCCTGAGAAATCTGGCCAGATCATCAACGCCTGTGTGGTTTTGCACAACATTCTTACACGCTGCAGGCTTGCAGTTCCTGTACACCACGCTGGTTTTCAGGATCCTCGTGAGCCAAACTATGTTGTGCCCCCAGAGTATGAAGATGTTGGTGCTTTCTTTGCAGATGCAGATGCTGTCCAAGCAGAACTGGTTGACCATGCTAATTGGTTCATGAACCGTAATTTGCATTGAATTTTTTCTTTTGTTTAATCACCTTTATTTGTCATGATTCAGTTCATCGCCTGGTGTCTAAGTTTGATTCCTGTGTGCAACATTTTTATTTGTTTATGTTAATTTCAATATTTAGTCGTCAGTTAGGTTTCAAATTATAACCTTACTAGAAAATGTTAAGTTATGTGGAACTGTTTTTTGATCTGAGTGACTTTGTCATGGCTTATTTATAACATTTCAGCTGCATTGAGTTTTATTTTGGTACATTAATATGAGTATGAAGTCATTTGGTGATTTGAAATGGACATTTCTGACTTTACTGAATATATTATGTATGTTCATGCTGTAAATCAAGCAATAGTTTTGATATTGTTCAGTTAATGCTTTTTTGGTGTGAAGTCCTGCACTGTTCTTTCTATCTACTATTATTTTGTTTTGTTAGATTTCAACTTTGGTGACTTTAGTTGTTAGCCTATTCTAGTATATAATTTATACAATTTCTAATTTTGTTGGCTGAGCAATTAGCGAAGCCTATTACTCCAGTAATCCAATACGTTTAGTGTGTGTCTTTCTGTATGCTCAATAACTTGAACAGATTGAGCTAGTAAATTTTTATGTGAATGTACAGTTTGTTGTAAATATTACTGCTACATCTATTTGTACATACATCTTTATTTAAATTATGCGCCCTCAACTGTACATTCTCATAGCGACTACTTTTGACTGTCACTTGTCTGCGACTGCAGCGCCATCTGTTCGATACTGTGTTGATAAATAAAACTACTCGCTCACTTCGAGCCAGACTGTTGCCAAACAACATTGTCTTTCTCCTTTGCTCCTGCACATCACACCAGATTGCTAAGTATCGGTTGGAATACAAACACCGAACAAACATAAATCTACAACAGTTACTGAACCCTAATGTGTTTTTGATCTTCAAATAAATATGATTTAAATAAGGTTAAATTTTGTCTGTACAATTTATAGTACATCCAATCGACTTTTACATAAGTGCTTAGTAGGGAAAACTATGACATTAAACAAATAGGCTATAGTTGCACTAAACAAATGAGATCCTCTATTGCCCCCTTTAAATTCTCGTTGTTTCGTTGGTCTTAACACCTATCTCAGATGTTTTTTTCCCTGTGGTTAAGTTAAAGTTAAACTACTTCCCTGTAAAAGTAACTCTTGGGGTGCAACCAATGTCTTTGATCAGTTCGTAATAAAATTAAGTGAAGACCTAGGTTTGCAAGCTTACAAGGCTGCTCCCACATTACCTTTTTGATAGATTTGTCTCTCATGTTTAATGTTGACTGCCAGTATCAGCTTAAACTAATTCAATCTGGGATCATCCAGAAAGTACATTGACAGGTTCGCATAGCGCCTGATAGGTAGGCAAAATCTTGACTGCAGTGCATGCGAGTACTGCGGGGTGGCCTACCCAGAGTCTCGCAGGCGCTGAGCTTCCCTCATTTTGCCGGATGAATGGGAGAAACGATCGTGCTTTCTGGACAATCGCTTTGATTGTTACATTTTCAGGATTTCCCAATGTTCCCCTGACCTCAATTGAATTTCAATTTCTAAAAAGTTCCAGTCAAGTTTTTCTCCCTGACTTCCCTGCGTGCTTATCAGTAATGTGTACATTTTTGTTCAGGTATTTCAGAGCTGACAGGAGGGTACCCCCCTGATAACTCCCTCCTGATAATTTAAAGCACAAGTATCAAATCTTATAAACATTTTTATTCATAGCTTGGTTACCGAGTTCTGTAAGCAAGCTCCACTTATGCATTTTTAAATACGCTAGTAGGAAAAAAAATCTTTATACTGGCGTGATAAAAAAGGATTAGTGGAGCATGTCTATGGACAGTCAGCTATGAATAAAAATGTTCATAAGATTTAAGTTTGATACTTGTGTGGTAAGATATCAGGAGGGCAACCTCTACTGCTGGATTTGTTGTGGTAAAGTAGAATATAGTGCGAGATCATCTTTTATTTTGATTTCAATGTCAAAACAAATCTCTTAGAGAAAAATAAACAATCATTAAATAATTCTAATATAGGAACAAAAAAAAATAACGAAAAAATATCTATCCATGCATCCATGCTATCCCAATTTGGAGAGTGTGTCCACCGTTGACGCGAATCTTGTAACGGTTTCCTCGAGCTTTGTGGTATCGATCTCAGGTCTGAGGTCCAACGACTGCAGGGTTGCAGTAAGCAGGTTGACCGCGTCGGTGAGCTCGGAGATACCTGAATAAAAATGTACACATTACTGATAAGCACAGGGAAGTCAGGAAAAAGTCAGGGAGAAAAACGTGACTGGAACTTTTTAGTAATAGAAATTCAATTGGGGTCAGGGGAATATTGGGAAATCCTGAAAATGTATCAAAGCGATCGTCCAGAAAGCACGATCGTTTCTCACATTCATCCGGCAAAATGAGGGAAAGCTCAGTGCCTGCGAGACTCGCGGTAGGCCACCCCGCAGTACTCGCATGCACTGCAGTCAAGATGTTGCCTACCTATCAGGCGCTATGCGAACCTGTCAATGTACTTTCTGGATGATCCCAGATTGAATCAGTTAAAGCTGATACTAGCAGTCAACAAACCTTGTATAACAACCGGAGGCGCCGGCGCGGACAGACTGACAGCAGCAGCAGACGGTCCCGGCGCGGGGATAGACGGTCCCGGCGCGGGGACAGACGGTCCCGGCGCGGGGACAGACGGTCCCGGCGCGGGGACAGACGGTCCCGGCGCGGGGACAGAGGTCTCAGCCCATAGCGGTTCCAGCTCAGCCCACGACTGTCCCGCCTGGACAGAAGACTGAGCAGCCCACGACGACGGTCCCGGCTCAGCCCACGACGGTCCCGGCCCGGGGGCAGACCCAGCCCTAGACGTCGAGGGTCCCGCCACCGACCCCAGGCCAGCCCACGGGTACCCCGAGGCCGACTCTGGCGTGGCTCCCATGGTAGTATCCGGAGTCACACCTGGAAGCAAGAGCATAATGTGTGAGCATGACAGATGACAAAAGTGGCCACTTTTGTCGCGGACAGATTACATTTGTGTCATATAGAACTTACCAAGAGTAGCCGGGTACACACAGTGGGCGACCTGGTGTCTTGGTTGGTAGGGGTTCGGGCCTAGTCCTAGGCCAGGATGGGCGGCGTGGCGCTCCGGACCGGGCAGAGGGTGCTGCAGCCACGGCCGGTGCCCTACCTGGCCCAGGTGCTGCTGTGGCTGTGGCGGCGGCGGCCGCATGGCCTGCACTGGCTGCTGCCCTGCCTGCAGCCCCGCCTGCACTGGCTGCTGCAGCCCCGCCTGCACTGGCTGCTGCTGCCCCGCCTGCACTGGCTGCTGCATCTGCATCTGCATAGAAAGACAAAAGTTACTTTATTTGTAAACTGAGTCTGGCGAAACAGCAACAGACGAGGGGGTAATCACATAATAGTTCGTACACCTTCCCCCGAACTAGTCCGAATAAACGCGAAATAGTTCGTGAAATAGTCAAGACTCCCGAAATACTGCGAAAATACCACAAAATAATCCAAAATGGGCGAGAAATAACCGAAGTGGCAGGAGAAATACCACGAAATAGCCCGTAACGCTACGAACCCAAGTGATTACCCCCTCGGGTAACGAGTGGAGACTGGGGCATCAACCGCTGGGGCAACCGTGTTACCATAACTTACCTGAAGAGGGTCAGGCACCCCATCGTGGCCGAACAGCTGCTCTCGTGGAACGAAAGCCATGACCCTACAATAGATAGGGTTCATGCCGAGCTTTTCCGGCTCCAGGTCTTCTGGGAGAGGCGGTCCACCGCCCGTCCCACGGACATGGCGGGCCCGCTCCATGTACTGCCGCTTGGCTCTCCCCTTGAGATTATTGAAGGCCTGAAACGATATATTACATTAGCGCCCGTTCATAGGCCGGCATAGCAGGCACCATAGGTACTGCCGATCAGACTGGCTGTCAGAACGGAAGCCGACTGGTGGGACCATACAGACCTATGCTGTCTGCTACGCCGGTGTTGATGTTACTAAAGCACGTGGCATCAGGAGTAGCGGCAATGCGCATTAAAATGGGCATTGAAGGTAATACATTTCAGACGCATTTAAAGTGCATTGTGCGCATGAAGTGCGTCTAAAATGTATTACATTCAACGTGCATTAACATGCGCATTTGCCGCTACTTGGGATGTCACGGAACAAATGGAGTGTCTGAATTCTCCAGGGTGTTTACACTTCGACACAGTGGATAATTCAGACACTCGTACACTTACCTCCTTCCACTTCTCCCACGATTTGAAAGCCCCCCCCATCTGGTTCAGACGGTGAGCTGTCTGGGCCCACAGCTCGTCGTGGCGCCCAGCAGCTCCCGCACCCTCGTTGGTGAAGTCCCCCCGCATCACCTTGAAACGGTGCAGGGCGTCGAGGAGGGCACTCCATTGCTGGTTAGTGGGATCTATGGGAAAAACAAATTAAAATAAAAGCGGCGTTATGATCTCACTACGGGGCCGGACTCCTACCCCCCAAAGGCAAACTAGAACAAAATGAGTTTTAATGCATTTCTACTACTTGGGACAGAGTCCCACTTTACAGCAACGCATGCACTTTTCTTACCTTGATTATTGGCGGTCATATTGCAGGTGGTGATGATGGCACTCCCCCGCAGCTCGCAGAGCAAATGAGACAGGGACCGGAACACTGCGGACCATGTTTGGCTGTTGGCACAGCATGCTTCCTCTACGGCCAGGGTTTATCGGCCGAGGCTGCAATCTGGCAACGCGGCGAACCGGCGGAACGGGAGGAACGGACAGCAGCTAGACGCGGCTAACGGCGGCTAGCATGGGATGAGGAACGCGGACGCAGGGGAACGTGATAGCCCTGTTGAAATCGCCGGGTTGGAGTGTGAAATTCCGTATTTTCCTTGTTTTGCGTTCGATTTTTGTCTTTTTATAGTGTCGAACAAGTAAAAAAAAGTAATTTGGAGGTATTACACGGTAGGTTATGTGGTATTCTTCTCTCTTTTACCTTCCATGTTGTTGTATGATATACTAAAAGCTGCACTTGTGTTCATTGTTACAGATGAACTTAGATCTCAACGTGGTTGTGAATGCTCTAGAGCGTGGAGAAGTACTCAATACCTCCAGTAGTAGTAGCAGTAGTAGCAGCAGTAGCAGCAGCCGCAGCAGTAATGATTCGCTCTTTAATTCCACTGGAGGTTCAGAGGAAGCGATTGAAGATGACGAAATAGTGCAGATGTTTGGAGCATATCAAGAACTGCTTTTTGGTGCCCCTCGTAAAAGGGTTGAAGACTATCTCAATATTGTCCACCAGAAGGATGACGAACAGTTTCGAAGAGAATTTAGGCTCCCTAGACCTGTAGTCGATGACCTAATTGGTAAGGTGCTGTCTAATGAAATCTCTGGTTTGCAATTGGCTCTGTGTCAATTTTCATTCCATCCTCTTTTCTTTTAGGTGAGCTGCATGCCAGTGACTTCATTCCAAACACCCCTGGGGGAAAGGATACAATAAGTGCAGAACTAAGTCTCTTAATGTTTTTAAGCATGGTGAGCAGTGACAATGTACTCAGAGAAACTGCCAATTTATTTGGATGTGGTGAAACAACCGTATTTAGAGTTGTACGAAGAGTTACAGACTGGCTTTTACATATTTCGCCTGACCATATTGTCTGGCCCCGGGGTGAAGATATCCAACCAACTTCTGCTGCGTTTGCTACGAGGGCAAATATTCGCAAGTGCATTGGTGCTATTGATGGCTCTCACATTGGCATTGAGAAACCTGAGTTTTATGGCAGGGTTTATTGGTGCCGCAAAGAGAAGTACTCTATTGTCCTGCAGGCTGTTGTCAATTTTGAAATGATATTCACAAATGTACAGTGTGGTAGTCCTGGCTCTTTCCATGACATACGTGTGTTACGGAGAACAGGATTGTACAGAGCAGCAGAACGTGACCTCGAGAACACTTTCCCTCGGGGCACTTTTTTATTGGGGGACAAAGGCTATGTTGGTGTTGGTGAAAGATGGATTGTCACTCCTTTCAAGGACTACGGCAATCTTACTCGAGAGCAGACTGATTTTAATACAAGAGTATCCTCAACTCGTGTTGTTGTTGAACAGGCCTTTGGACTTTTAAAAAGTCGTTTCAGATACTTGAGAGGAACAATGAGACTCAGGGATATTCGTTTTGCTGCAAGAGTAGTTATTGCTTGCTGTGTTTTGCATAATATCTGTATGAGGAGAGATGACTATGGTGAAGACTTGATTGATGAGGAAGACAATGATGACAGTGATGAAAATGAAGGTGCTGATTCTGAAGATGATATTGATAACAATGACAACGCGCCGGTGGCACAAAATCGGACACTTTCTGCCTTCAGAGAACTATATCCAGATGCTGTTATTCCTGTAAGGCAGAGGCGTGCGGCAAATGCACTTGTATGAAACTTGTAACTCACTATATGTACGTGCGTATTGACTTGGTGGAAAGCCATGTTGAAGTGTATGTATCTGCAAATTCTATGCACCATCTGCTAATAAAGGAGCTAACACTCTCTTGTCAAAGTAACGTACCACCTGTCCATGAGGTGCATAAATTAACTATAGAAAATGATCATCTGAAAGGTGATGGTTTGAGTACACTGAAGTGTGTGCAGGAAAGTGCAGTAATGATCAGATTGAATAAACGGTTTTACATATATAAAATATATTCTTATTTCTTAAAAAAAAGTATGTGCACAACAATGTAAATCTAAAGCAGAACAATTCTTATGCATAAATAACAATTATAAAAGTAATACCTACTTAAACAAATATATGGCACAGCCAGTCCATCAAAATATATCACATAGATCAGTCTCTAAGTTATAAACACACTGCCCTTCCTGAATCCCCTGTACACAACTGTATCGTTCTAGTGAGCAGAAGTCAGGTAGGTCAGTGTGTAAATAACTCAGAGACTGAGTTATCTGACATGGCCTGATGACTGCTCTCTAGCCGGATACTGTACAGTTACACTAATACACAATTCCTTAAAACAAATGATGTAATAATTTAAAACTAAGTAACTCAAAAATCCTTGAATATATGGCACAGCCAGTCCATCAAAATATATCACATACATCAGTCTCTAAGTTATGAACACACTGCCCTTCCTGAATCCCCCGTACACAACTGTATCGATCTAGTGAGCAGAAGTCAGGTAGGTCAGTGTGTAAATAACTCAGAGACTGAGTTATCTGACATGGCCTGATGACTGCTCTCTAGCCAGATACTAAATGTATGTACAAAAATACTTAAAATTTATCACAGGGACAGTTGATTCTCCCTCAGCAAATTCAGGAGCTTAACTTTCTCCTCCTCCACCTCGACCAATTTCCTTTTCATCTCCAGTTTGTTTCTATTCTCTTTCTGCTTCTCTAATAACTTTGATTTTTTAAATTCTAATTCAGCTTTTCTCATCTTCAATTTGTCTTTTTGTAGTTGCATATGCTCCTCCATAACAGCAACTCGTTTCAGTTCATAGCTCGTCCTAGCCTCCTTCCTTTCATCGGACTTATTCAGGAAGTGGACGAATGCAGCCTGCAAGGTACTCCTAGCTCCAGCCTGGTTGGACCCAGAGCCATGTGGTACCTTTTTCTTCTTCCTGTGTGGTGTCAATTGAGAGGGTTCCACATTGGCACCTTGGGTGCTACTGGAGGAGCTAGGGGTGATGTCGATGTCCTCCGCCACTACCTGGCCTTCAGGGATCATGAAGGCTGTTCTGGGGTTGAGCTTCGCGCTCTCTTCGTAAAGAAACTTTTCACAAGTGTTGAGGTTTAATGGAGGCCCCCCCGTGGAATGACTAGCAGTAGTCTTGCGGCTGTAGCCTCGCAATAAATTACCCCACTTGGTCTGACACTGCTCGGGATTCCACGGAATGCCTGGAGTTTCTTCAGCCACTTGCCTCCAGAACTTCACATCTGAGATGTGAGCCACTTTCCCATCTCTTTTCTTCATAACTGTCTCGATTAATGATTTTATTTCTTCTTCCTTCCATGAACATTTCTCCTCTGCAGGGCGGCTTGGTTGGGGTTCTGGTTGGGGTTGAGGTTGGGGTTGCGGTTGAGGTTGCGGTTGAGATGATCCTGCTGAAGAATATAATGTAAATAAATAGGCCCTAAAGTTGTGGGAGAGACTGCGTTCAATGAGATATATATTTACCTAGTGATGGTTGTGGTGGCCGGAGTATAAGTCCCTGCTTCAACATTTCTTGGATTCTTTTCTGGGACACCACCATGACCTAGAGGAATTAAGACATTTTATCATTCAATGAAATGCTAAGGCCCATTTATCAACTCAAAGCCCACGATGCGTATGAATGCGAGGTTACTGACGCAAACAGATCTTCATTTACAATCAGAAATTGAATGTGTATTTTGCTCCGACTCTTACCTTTGGTTTATTGATGTTCATGATTCGCGTATGATCAGTTTAATAGAAGAAAAGTTCCTAATTCTACACAAAAACACAGAAACTTTCCTTCATTCAACCTGACCAACGCTTTCACTCCTCAGCCGTTTCCCGCTACTTTCTTCTTGATTTCTTCGCGAACCATGCCCGACCGCCGATTTCGGCCGCTGTCGCTGGCGGTCGACCGAGTTGGGTTACCACGCCGAATGGAAAGCACATCCGGCGACCAGGGTCGACCATGGTCGACCATGGTTGGCGAATGAAAAGCACCTCACATTTTTAAGAAGCACAACAACAAACAATAAACAGAAAAAGAAAAGGCATATAATATATGAATGTTCAGCTTACGTTATCAGAGCCCTCAAAAA